ACCTCATCAAACTTCCTCTTTTGTCATTGTTTTGGTTCGACCCCCTAGTGGCAGACATTACATACTGTACGTTTATGTCAGCAAAATGTTCTCCCCGCTGCGTCTAGGTGAAGAGTAAACAACAAACCAACAATACAAAAACCCTCATCAGCAGCCACAGTCTGCAGTCAGAGCTCCCTTTGGCAGCGGAACAAGCTCCGCCCCTGCCCCACTTGTCAAGGTCGACGTTCCAAGAGAGTAAGAGCTCACTTCCCTGGTAGAAACCTGACAGACCTAAATCCCGTCTGGATCAAACAGGTAGAGCAAGATCTCTGAGGGAGCACCGCTCACATGGTGGAGCTGGTGTGGGAGACAACCCAAGGCAAAGAGCTCACAGACTGGGGAATATTAGATTTTATAAAGCCATGCTTCGTTTTCTGCCCCGTCGACAGCTTCTCTGGTGTGTCAGCAAAACAAGACATCTTTGTTGTGACATAACACTGATCACCAGTCATCTGTCTCTTATGTAACCCCTCAGGCCGCTGGCTAAAACCACGGCCTGTGTGCTGGACAGGGACCCGGAGCCCGGTGGAAAACTGCATCAGTACTGAAGAGAACCAGGAAGGGGGACAGGAGGACTGAGACAGAGCAAAAGAAAAGATAATGGGTGATGATTAGGGGATAGAGGTTAAAAAGGGCGGTAATAAATGAGAGACACCCCTGTCCTCTGTCACTGCAGAACATTATTAATTTAAGAACTTTCCAGAACTTTCTCTTAATCCGTTTCTAAAGAGTGCAGTGAGGGTGAGGGGAGAGAAAATCCTCCACATTATGTAAATCTGTGCTTCAGAGATTACTGGTGACTCTGCTGATGCCACTGCAGCTTCAGCAACTTTAAGTCCTTCGGTGTGTTTGCAGCTCACAGTGACACCTAGTGGACATGTATGGTAGCACATCCTTCATCCCTCAAACACACCTGAACATAGACTTTATGTGTGTGTGTCTGTGTGTGTTTAATAATAGTGATCTGTACTCTGGCTGGAACCTTTTTAACAAAATAATGAATTGTTATTTTAAGTTTTATTTATATTAAATTCTGGATCGATTCACAATGTTAAGCAGAAAGTTTTACAGAGGATTTCTTTATATTTTATGGGTAAATAACTCAACTTTATTCATACAACACCTTTCATACACACATGCAACCCAAAGTGCTTCACATAACAAACTGAAACCAGCCAATACAATTACCGATACCAATAAGATAACCAATAATTGTACATTTTTGTATTTTAAAAAACGAGCACATAACCTGTAGTTTTTACACACCGGAGGGTAAAAAATGTTAAGATGTAGTGAGCAACCAAATCTAACTGACATATAGTTCACACAACAACAGTTCTGACTCTTCAAATGTTGATTCATATTTTCTAGTAAAGTTAAAAACTATTAATTGTTTTCCATAAGAATTTAAAATAAATTATTATCCAATAATTTATCAGCTGTAATTTATTTAATTTCCTATTATCAGCCGATAATTTATCTGTCCCGATAATTACAGGGCGTCCCTAAAAGGTGATGTCAGGAGGCCGGTGGGATCACGGCTACCTTCAGCGCAGTGTGCGTGCACTGACTGGTTTCTGTACATCTGTGTTAGAGTAGCTCATAGCATGTTGCGGGGGCTCTGATTGCTCCCACGACACACCGATAAATCACCTCGACATTTGTGTCAGCGTCGGTGAGAACGGCCCCTCTGACAGTTCTAATCAATACTCCTGTGAGCGTGGCAGGACGCTGTGCTTTATGGTGAGGTGCTCAAGCTATTAGCCTTTATGTAGAGATCAGGAAGGATGAGCTCATATATCTTTCGGAGTTTAGGGCCTTTTACGTTGTAGTTCTCCTTAAATGAAATGCAAGGAAGTTGGTAGAGTCAGCGTTTAGGTGTTTTCTGGTAAAACATTGGTTCCATTGGGGCTTTGAGTACAGTCAAAATCCTTTATGTTTATATTATATATATATTTATGTTTCTTATATTTAGGGCCCGAGCAGCAAGGGTTAGAAATCCAAGCTGCAGCCAGGTTAGCCACCGTTAGCAAAACCAGTTGATAACATTACAGCAACGTGTCCACCGATAGAAGTTGGACAGTACTGTGTGTACAACTAATTTCAGAAATCAGAAATCAGAAATCAGAAATACTTTAATAATCCCCGTGGGGAAATTACTTGAAAGGTGGGTACAAGAAACAGGA